AGATGAGCTTGAGCTAGAGCTGGAGCTAGAGCTAGACCCGGACCCCGAACCTGACCCCGATCCAGCACCCGAGCCAGCTCCACTCCCACCGAGCCCAATCCCTACTCCAGCTCCCAATCCAACCCCAATCCCACCAAGGTCTATCCCCAGGTCCTTTCTTGCCACCCGGCTTTCGGACAGGACAACACTTGAAACAAGCAAAGCGAAAAGGGTTAACGACTTCAAACTGAAACTAAAACTACCCATTGCTAATGAACTTGAGACTTCAATAAGCCAAAGGATCTAAAATAGTACAGGCTGAAATGTCAAATATGAGCGGCGGGACGTAGATAAATAAATGAGCTATTTATAGTTGTAGATGATAGTGGAATTGGAGGCAGCAGCGTGTAAACTAAGGCATATGATGAGGAAGTGGAGGAGCATGTTACAGGTGCGATGGGGGATAATTTTTATGAGTCTGATTGAGCCAAGTTTGTGGCTAGAAATGGAGGTGAGTTTGAGTGGGGCATTCTTCATTTTTGTTGTAGCGTAGGTTGGTGGCTATCATTAGGGTGGTGCCAACCCACTCCTATCACAAAACCCACTCAGCATAGTGCGTGCTGCTGATAGTGGAGTGGAGTATGACTGGCTCCTACCTAGAAATTTTATTTCTAGAAAGTATGATATATTTTTGCTAAATTGATATGGAGAAAAGAGATATATATGATACAAATTTTTTCTTTTTTTGGTCAAAATTAGGAAGAGACGAGGTTTCTCACGCACACTACTATTTTGAATATGAGATCATTGATATACAAGTCAACATTATTTTTCATTGGACTAAACGTCGTTGACTACGTATGATACAATATTTGTTTCACTCTTTTGGTACGTGAAATTAGTCCACAAAACTAAAATCAACCAATTCAGAGGCCATATAATTATGTATTTATAATTAACATTTGCGAATACATTAAGGTTTCCTCTACAAGAATTATTTCTACAAAAAGTTACTAAAATAAGAATCTGCTAAGGCCGAAAGATTTTTTATTTATACATTTATAATTAACATTCCTCTTCAGGAATCCTCCAAAAATCAGCAAAACGAGAATATGATTTTATGAGAGATAGCTAATTATTTTATTATTATTATTATTTTTTTGTTTCATTGATATTTTGTTGGTATGAAAACTAACTACAGTAACACACTAACCGAAGAGTGCAGTTTACATTTTTCACAAGTTTGTGGACGTATACAGTTAAACTTTCCTTTATATATACTAGCCTCTCCGCAAGCGTTGGTTTTTTTTTTTATAAAAAAAAACTTTAAATTTATTTTAGAATTAAAAAAGATAATGGGCAGTTCTATTCTATAAAAATAGGATTTATTATCTGATTTTTCTTTTAATTTTAATTTTTTTTAATATGAAAAAGTGTGAATTTACCATATTATTCTCATTTAATTAATAATTTTAATTTTTTAATGTACGGATTAATCGAATGCATTTTCTGGTATTTTGAATGCTTCGCTATTCAAAATGCCTGATTATCAAACTACATTAGAAGATTAAGTACACATTTTTCATATAGCGTCGCCCAGATTCGCGGTTTAGTAACACATATTCTCTTGTTATACTATATTAGGGTAGTATAGGGTAGTATGAATCAGTACTTTAAAAACAATAGCAATAGATATGGTTATAGGAAAACCGAAAAGGATGAAAGCAAAGTGAATTGAACAAAAAGAATATGGTACGCCAACGGTAAATTATACTAGCGAATGATAGAGCAATCTTCAAAGGCTAATCAAATCTCTCATAAGTTTTCAACTGGATATCTCCGGAATCTATATTCAAATAAGTTTGTAATGAAGTTTTGGAATCAATGTGATCAATCGTGACAATCTTTGTGGTGAAGATCACTTAGCTTGCATGACTTGTAACAAAGATACTTGGCATAAGGAACAGTTAGTATTTGACCATCTCATCAAGGTAACAATACATATGATTGATAATAACATTGCACCCAAAATATATATGTTTAGGGAGCAGTTTCATGATCTAGTCTACAAGCTGAAGAAAACTGAAGTGGGATACATGAACAGGAACACCATTTAACTATATAATATGAAATGAACCAATTACAAAGATGATGATTCAAGGCTAAACATCAGATCTGAATGCTACTCAGAATCACCATCTTCCTTATTTATGTACTTTATTATCACTACTTTAGCTCCATGCATTGGTACGTAATTGCATCCTCTCAGTTTCCGCCTCCACTGCCATAACCCTCACCATAGCCACGGCCTTCACCATGACCCTCACCGTTACCCTCGCCACTGCCCCGGCCTGAACCCTCGCCACGTCCATACCCCGAACCCCCACCTCGCCCACCACCACCGCCTCGAGCATCTCTCCCTGACCCTGACGAGGCCCGAGACCCTGCAGATGACCCTGCCTCGGAGCCTGCATCGCCTGACCCTGAACTCGAACTAGCACTCGATGAGGCTGAACTCGAAGAAGAACTACTTCCCCTGGACCCAGATCCTGACCCTGACCCTGACCCTGCCCCGGACCCACTTCCGCTTCCTCCAAGTCCTATACCCAGGCCTACTCCTCCTCCAACCCCAATTCCTCCAAGATCCACACCTAAATCCTTCCTAGCAACTCGGCCTTCTGATACATTAATAGATGACAAGGAGATACCAACAAGCAAAGCAACAAGAGCTAGTGACTTGAATGGAGCCATTTTCGGAAATGGAAAACTGGAAACAACCAAGGTAGCTGGTACTTAAGGAGAGCTTGAAAAGCAAATGCAAATGAAATGTATGATTTCAAGGAGATCGTTTTACTAGTTGTGCATGCATATGTTGGAGAATCCTTAGCTATTTATAGTACTACTTGTGCATGTTGATATTGTTGAAAGTGGAGACTTGTTGGTGTTTTTTAATCTATTTTGAAGTGGGAGGTGGTGAGGTGGCCGGTGGAGGTGGTGATGTGATTTCCATGGCATTTTGGAGGACCAAAATTATGTGGCTGAGAGATGGCTGAGTTCTTGGAGATCAACGTTTTTTGGACAAGTGTTAGAATGCTTGCCGCCGACCCATTTGATCCCCCACTTACTATAGTGGAGCAGCACTGGTCTGTTTTTTCTTCGTAAATAAAGGTGCTTTTTTTCTGATGTAGTTCATATGAGGCCACGATTCTTGAGTGGAAGTTTCTGATAAAGTTCAATAATTGAGACGAGATATGTATGACAGCAAATTGAATATGAAATGTAATGTTTACGTATCCATTTAGACAGCCTTGAGTCGCCATCATTCATAATTTGAATTCGCACATGAGATGGGTCATTTGAATTCGCACATGAACAATACATAGTGGAAGAGATTTGAGTCCATATGTGATATAACTTTTTTTCTTCCTTCAAAACTGAAACAGTGTTAATTATTTCTAGGAATTCTTGGGTGTGATCATATACAACCCACGTTCCCAAAGATAAAAAAATTCGTAAGATATTAATTTAAAACCCACATCTCCATTCAAGCTTCTTATGCATCCAAATGAAGAAGAAAATAATATATTAGTGAATAAGAACTTGATTTAAACCAGAAAAAACAAACTTGAATATCCGCAAAGAAAAAGGATTTGACTTGGGGAAGGGCACTAATCTTTTTCTGCTAGTTATGATCTTCTCCAACAACGTCAGTCTTTTCTTGAACGATTTTTCCCGTTAGAAAGCAGCAACAAATTACAATTTTTATCCTGTTTTTACAGAGGTTTGAAAGCCAAAAAGGCCTAGTATATATACAGAGGTTGTAGGCTCTACAAGGAAAACTATGTAACTTGCAAACTACTCCAAATCTACTGTAATGTACACGGAAACTAAAAAAAACTTTTAAACACAACCAATATCTTAACACTCACCCTCAAGTTGAAGCATGGATGTCAAGAGTGCACAACTTGCTTAGGAGGATGTGTAAGACGTGACTTCCCAATGTTTTGTCAACAGATCAGACACTTGTGATGAGGAAGGACAAATGAGGCAACAATCTGTCTTTTTTTGAATCACATGACAATAAACTTCAATGTTTTTTGTGCGCTCATGCTAAACCGGATTGGCTACAATATGAAGGGTAGCTTGATTGTCACAAAACAACTATGCAAGTCGAAGATTGGTAACCTGACGATCTTTTCGAAGAAATCTCAAGCAAGTTTAACTAATAAGTAGCAGCAACCATGGATCTATATTCTGCTTCAGCAGATGAACGAGAAACTATTTTTTTGTTTCTTAACATTCCAAGATATGAGTGAGTACGGGTGGGCATGGATTGGGTTTGATCGGTTTTAGTCTCAATCCGATATATAGCAGTTTATGATTACTTGGACCCAAGACACGCTCATTATTAGGTCAACTCAACCCAAAATTTTTGTGATCGGGTTGAGTGGTTCGGTCGCGTTAACTCAAAATTAAGCATACTTTTAAGTTTTGGTTCCAACCCGTAACCCAACTCGTACATAGTGATTTCTGATTTTTTGAACCCAATACCAGCTTATTTTTAGGCCAGCCTAATTCACTATATGATCGGGTTGGGTGGTTTAATAGGATTGACCAGAAATTGTGCCCAAACCCTATGAATGAGTCCCAAGTAAAATACAATAATCTGAAGTAGATCTTCTAGTCATGGGAAAATTTGCCTAACTAGAATCACAAAAGCCTCCGAAACGTAATTCATTAAGAAGAGAAGAAAACCTTGTCCTAGACTTGGTTTCAAATAGCGAAGTGACTTAGAAGAGCTGCATCTAAGTTGGTTTCCGTGGAGGGTTTAGGGAACGGAAGAGGTGGCTACGTGATTTGTGAGAGAGGTTGTTGGAAATGATGCAGTGGAAGTGTTCTCTTTCGTGATCAGGTATTACAAGCCATTAATTTGTTTCCCGAGACCAATCATCTTCTTCGAAGCTAGGTCTTATAGAACACAGAAGGTGGAAAAAAGGTGAATAGAGCATTTTAATCGAGAGTTAATCTTTCTAATATATTTTTATAAATAAATTCATTGAATTATATGTGTTGGTTCTCGGATTCTTCATCATATTATTTATCATGCTCTTAGGTCACAATTTACATCTTTCGACAACATCCTTGAGTGGTATGATCTGCAGGGCTATTAACTAAGTCCTTATTCAACGGTGTTGAGACATAGAAAAGAGAAACCATAACTAAAAAGGCAAGCCTTTAAATTTTCTTTGTTCTTCAAGATGATTGTACATTATGCACTACAAATCTATCTGCTACTGCAACTTGTTTCATTACTTCTAGAACTTGCTTGATGCTTCAAAACACTTGGAATCAAATGGAAAGTTGGCCCATCATTTCTTGATCATGTATTCAAACTCTGACATATACATATTGCAAGTCTAACTTCCTTTTTACTAGTTAAGATGTTTAAGACAAATATATTCCGGGGGCCTAAGGAATGGCACTCTAACAAAAACCATAGGAGCAAAAAAATACTTGCAATCCAAACCGAAAGGACTATCCAATTTGAGTACCAGAAGAAACCAACTAGAAATTAACAATGGTATTTGTTGGAATAGGATTTCTTTCAAGAAGAAATACCTCCATATGTTCTTGACTGAAGTCTGCATGCTTCCTTGGTTGAAAGAGAACTCCGGATTACGTTCCTGAGGACGAACGGTGAAAATGGGGTGAGTACCTACAAAAGTCACTCCGACGCTCAAGTCAGTGTTTGTGCAGTGTACTCTTAGTGTTCAATTGAATTTTTGGTACCTTTGCTGGAGGTCTAGCTGGGTTTTTATAGCACTTCGAGTTTTTGGGTTTAGCCCTACTTCCCTAGCTTTGCGCATCCCGTCCTCCACTTCATGGTAATGGGGTCAGATGACCGATTTGTGTCTCCCTCGCTCCGCACTTCTCTAGTGGGAAGGAAGTTCGATCATCCCACGTCTTTTAGTTGTGGCATATGGGTTAAGCCATGACATGTGAGATTTTGTGCAAATGGGCAGAGTAGATTTCACCAAAATAGGATGATTGAAGGGATGAGGGAAGAAAGGAAGGGAAAGACTTGGCTAAATTGGGTAAAAGTCATTAGGGTTTCTTGGAAAAATGTAGCTTCCAGCTCCTATAAAAAGAGGCATTTCCTACCCATCATCAACAACACACATCTAAAGAGCAAGCTCCATCTCTCACTCTGAAATCTCTGCAATTTCGTGCCATATTCCTTCATCTTCTCTCATTTTCTCTTATGACATGCCATTCCAAAGTCTGACATAACTTTGGTCAGGCTGCTGGAAAGCTACCCAAAACAACCCACATTTCAGAGAGCAAGCTTTCTTTCTCACCTGCAACACCCAGCAAATTCGTGCTTTGTTCATCCTCCTCCCCATTTTTCCCTCTTCTGGCAGGCTGCTCTAGCATTTGACAGAGTCACTGTCAAGCTGCCGGAAGTAATACTCAAGCCACCCATTCCTCTCTTTTTCCTTATTCCCAGCCAAACCTCTCTGCAAGCTCTTCATCTCCTACCTTAATACCCCTTTTCCCCCAGGAACACTTAGTTATCTCTTCAGTGCCAAACTCATGACAATTTTGTTCCCATGCCACAAGCTTCTCATGCCAAGCTAGAAAATTTATTTGTAAGTTGTTATTATTTTTGTTGGTAAAGGTAACCAAGGTATTTCCTAAGGCCTTACTGTAATTTCGAAGCATTCTTGGGGCTTGATCTTCGAACTTAGGCTCAAAGGGCAATTTCATCCATTTTGTCATTTACGGCAGCCCAGGCTCGTAGTAGCTGCAAGAACAAAAAAGCCCATACAACTATCACCTCGCTTACTACTATACCCATAAATCTTTGTTTGAAAATGTTGATCTAGTTGGCAAAAGGTTTGCAAAATCATCATCTTGTATTTTTGTTACAAGTAAGAAATAATCTTAGCCTCTCACATTCTTTCAATTAGTAAAATACGGAACAGGAAAAATTATGAAAAAAATACTGACGTGTTTTATTCGGCAATATTTTGGCAAATTACAACTGATAAGTTCGGCCACTATATAATATTTTAATATAATATATTTAATATATATTATTTTAATTTAAGAATATTTTAAGTATATATTATTTTAAAAAAAATATTCATTAAAAAACGACCCCAATAAAGCCAACCCCGGCTCCACTATTTGTAAGAAAAAAACTTGCCTGGCACCGAGTATAGCCGATCGGCTATACTATTTATCTATATATTAAAAAAGCGTAATATAAAAAACTCCAAGTATAGCCGTTCGGCTATACGATTTATAAAATAAATAAAAACATAAATTGATGACCCGATGTAGAATTTTATTTTATTTTTTTAATTTTTATTATCGGGGATTATCGGGGATGCGGGTTGCTGTCGTAATCATAGAGAGAAGCCCAGGTCGTTGAGGTCAAGCGCACACCCACAGGCGTCAGAACTCATAAGGACATAGCGTAACGTCATAACCCAGTTTCAAAAAGAATCCGTCAGCTTATGCGAATCCTCACGAACACATACAGCTTTTGCGAAACCTCTCGAGCGCCATAACCCAGTTTCAAAAACAATCCGTCAGCTTTCTCGCTCTTTCTGCGCCCTGCTCTGCTCGGTACCATCGCCAGCAAATCACCCCCCTATCATCCAAGTTCTGCTAGATTGTCTCCACAGGGTCTCGTAAGTACCTTTCATTCCTCTCTCTTCTCTTCTGAGTTTGGGTATCAATTTATGAATTTGATGCCACTCGTTGCGTATAATTTGTACGCTATGATTGATTTATCTACCCGTTAAAGATTCTACTATTAAATTGTAAAATGGGGTTGAAATTGAATTGTTAAGATTTACGTTGGGCATGAAATATATCTCAAAGGGGGTGTTGGGCAATTTTATGTTGGGGTTTTGCATGAAATTTTATGAGAACTGTGTATGAATGTAGTTATCTTCTTTGCATTGTCTGATTTTCGATAGATGAGAGACTGTAAATTTTACCATAAGGTGCAAGAAATGTGATGCATTATGGGCCTTTTTCCATTGATAGGGTAGAGGTTCTTCATTTCGTGCTTTGTTCATCCTACTCACGAGGAAGTACATTTTTCTATTTAGGAAATTTGGTTTCTGTTAATCTGCAGATTAATTATGAACAGTTTTTACGGTAGGCGCTGTAATGTGGTATCCCATGGATTTCAATGGGAAAAAATCTGTTAAGGGAGTGTTATTCGTACTCCCTATCGTCCTCCTGTATTCCAGCGCAGGATTGGTGTGGGGGAGTGCTTAGTAAAAGTCAAAGAAATTTCATATATCAGCAGATAAATTATGATTACTATGAAGTTGGAATTGAGGCTCTATTGAGTTCGGCTGAGTGGATTCGTTGAAACGAAGAAGGGAGTATCTGTAATGCTTTCTCATTAATTGGAGACTGAGCTCTGGTCTATTCTAGTATTTGATCAATAGTGTGTACATATTGTTTATACATTTCTAGTTTATCTGTTGTGAAGGTTATGCAATTGCCTATGTTTGTTACTTCATCCATTGTTGGTTTGTTCTTGAGGTCACTCTTGTTTATCTTGTCAGGCTGCCGAGTTAATTTATCTTTAGGGAAAATGGGTGTCAAATTTCTCAAAATTCCTGTAACGCAAACGGATTGTTCAATTCAAGTATCTGGTTGCAGTCCCTAACTTTTGTAATAATATATTTGTATTTATCACCCGTCACTGGTTTTATTATCTTTGAAAGCTTCTGGCTACTTCAAATTTTTTGTTTTTTTGTTTTCCCTAAGGCAGCTACCTGCATTTCAGGGCTCTGTGAATCCCATTGAACTTTGTTGTGGCCATAGGGATTATTAGACAAGGATGTCTGGGAGACGAAAAATTCCATCGTCTTTTGAGCGACGTCCCATTCAATCTCCAGGTATGATGCGGCATGGTCCACTGCCTGGGTTAGGGCCTCCTGGTCACCGACCATTTGAGGCACTACCACGTCCTGAACTTTTGGAAAATAAAATTGCATATCAAGCCGCAGAGATAAAACAACTGACAGGAGACAATCATAGACTGGCAGCTACTCATGTTGATTTGAGGCAGGATCTTTTAGCTGCTGAGGAGGAACTACAGAGACTCAAGGCACACATGAGAAGCATCCAGACTGAGAGTGACATTCAGATGCGGGGTTTGCTTGATAAGATTGCAAAAAGGGAAGCAGACATTGAAGCTGGCGAGGGTGTGAAAAAGGAACTGCAAAAGGCTCACATGGAGGCACAGACCTTGGTTGCAGCACGACAAGAGCTGACCATTCAAATTCGGCAGGCCACGGAGGAGTTGCAGAAAGCTCGTCTTGATGTTGAGAAACTACCGGGTTTGCATGCTGAACTTGACAGTCTGAGGCGAGAACACCATAGGCTGCGGTAAGTCAATCTACCTTTGAAGCTTACTTTGAAGTCTATTTGCCTATCTCCTAGTGATAGAAACCTTTTCTAGCTTTGAAGCTTAATGTAAATCATGAAACCTTTTCTCTAGCTTTATCGGCAATTATTGCCACTGTGCTTATGCAAACGTAACAAATAAAAGGTGGCAATATCTTTTGTACTTATACTCATTCCAGAAATAGGACTCTTGATAATTTTTGTTCCCTTCGATAATATAAGCTAATGATTGATTAGTCACACATACAAATTGTAATGAATTATTTCCAATCTGTTCAGCTATTGGGTGGTTCCATATTTACATTTCGTTGTGTTGTTCCGTCCAATTTTTACTTTATTAGAGATTCCACCAAATTAACTCTATGATGCCCACAAAATATATGTTGCTCAACTAAAGTTCACAGTTCCCGTGTTTCTTTGTTCATTTTTTTGGTACCTTTTGTGATCTATTTTGAAGTTTTAACTTGATTTCTGATGCTCTAAATCTTTTGTGTGTACAATACAGTTCAACTTTTGAATACGAAAAGGGTTTAAACATAGAGGAAGTGGAGCAAATGAAAGCAATGGAGAAGAATCTAATTGGGATGGCAAGAGAAGTAGAAAGGTTGCGTGACGAGGTCTCAAATGCAGAGAAGAGAGCCCATGGTAACTTTCTGTCCGTCTATCGTTTTGGTACTTTAGATAGCTTTTGTTCTGATACTTCTGATATTTAATTTAGCACCAAACGCACACGCTGGTGGTTACACAAATCCAGATTCTTATTACCCAGCTAACATGCAAGGTGCTGGTGTGTATTTTGATGGTTATGGAAGGCCCTATGTTTCAACCGGTGTTAGACCACCAGGAGAGGGAACAATACCATATGCCAGCAGCAGCGGCATAGCTGCTGGTGCAGTTGTCCCAACTGCTGGTGGTGGTGCTATTTGGGGAGCAGCATATGATCCCTCACTGGACACTGCTGCTGCTGGCGCAGCTGTCTCTAATGCTGGGCTTGGATCTGCTCCAAGAGGCTATGATTCTACGCTTTCTCGGTAGTGAATACAGGATGAGGCCTGAGGTTTTCAGGGCTTTAGGCGAACTATTAAAATGGAGCAAATATTTACTCACATAAGAAAATATGTTTGGCATTTTGGAGAGATTTTTTCATTTTTTGGTTTGTTTTTGTTTGTGTAGTAAATCACATGAAACTTTTGCCATATAGGATTTTTAAGTATTTAAATGATGGGTGTAATCCAATGTGAGAAGACCAAAGTACTTGTTATGCTTACTTACCTGAGCATGTCTGAAGAAGACCAAAATACATGTGCCTTTGGTTTTATTACTTTTTTTTTTCTCTCTGTAGTATGGACAATGTTTCTCATCTCATGGAAAATTTGAAGATAAATTCTTTCTGAAAATGGAAATTCATGATTTCTCGTTAGAACATCAAATCTAATGCTGGAAGTAAGTCCATAGCTCTTTGGTGAGAGCATTTGTCTACAGATTAGTGGTCTCATGTTTCAACCCCAATGATACCTTCTCGCTTTCCAAACTTTGACGTAAAAAATGGTGCAAGTAATATTTGAAGGATTGATTTATTACCCTTACCAAGGATCTGACTAAAGGAGATTACCTTTATGTATTCAAGTGTACTCTTCGTCCTAAATTGTTGTCATAATTAAAATGAATGTTATTGTGAACGATACCAAAGGTTTGACAATATCAAATTTACCAATAGTTCTAAAAAAGTAAAAACTCAAAGGGGACAATAGAGACTCGGATAATTGCTTAATAGTAATGAATAATGCTCTAAACTACCCTTATCAATAAACAAAAATTGGGGAAAAACAAATTTTTTTATAAAAAAGATCAGTGTCTAATGTACAGAGTATAGCCGTACTATACCATTTATAAAAAAAAGTTATTTCATTAAAAAACGACCCCAGTAAAGCCCAGCATCTATACTCTTAAAAAAAAATATATATCCCGAGTATAGCCGCACGGATATACTTTTTGCAATAATAAAAAAATCGTATAGCGCCCAGTTCGCCACGTGCAAAAATAGTATCGCCGCGCGGCTATACTATTTTTCTAAACCAAAGCGTCAAGTGTAGCCGCCGGCTGTACCATTTTTATTTAGCCGTGCGGCTGTACTATTTTTACTATATAAAAAATCCTAGTATAGCCGGTTGGCTATGTGATTTATTTTTTTAAAAAAAGAAGACTGCCTGGCTCTAGCGTCCATTTCGCCACGTGTCAACAGTAGTATAGCCGCGCGGAGATACTATTTTTAGTATATAAAAAATCCGAGTATAGCCGGCCGGCTACACTATTTTAATTATAACAAAAACTTAGTATAGCCGAGCGGCTGTAAAGCTTTTATTATATCGGAGTATAGCCGACCGGCTATACGATTTATTAAAAATAGAGGAGCCGCCTGCGGGTCGTGTTTGTGTATGAGCTTGTAGTGTCTTCAGAAATTATGTACGAATTTGAAATGAACCCTAAAATTTAGGGGTTTTATGAAGTTAAAGAAAATAGAGAGGAAAAAGATAAAGCACTTGCCAAATATACCATTGACAATAACATTACGTGGCGCTAGAGAATTAATCATCGGACGAAGGAACCGGAGAGGAGCTCAGCCCACCTTCATTTCATATATTCGCCATCTCCCGTTCACAAATCCTCCAAATCTCGCTCCTCTCTTTCATCGCTTAAGTCTTCAGTCATGGCCGAGGTTACCTTCTTTTCTCTTCTCCCTTTGATCTATCTGTATGTTTATGGTTATGGCTTCTGTTAGAATTCCAGAATTGTGTTTTTTATTAATTCTTTAACTAATCTATCTCCGTTTGACTTTATTTTTTAATACTGTGCATTGGGTTTTCGTTACAAAAATCTATAGTTTATGAATATTTCCGCTTTTCAAATCAATTCATTCGAAAAGTATCCCGACGAAGATTTCTGATTGAAATTTTTGTTTTGGGCAATATGTTCAATGGTGGGTGCAAACGTAGCATATATTTTCATATTACTGATGAGATTTTCCTTTATTAATTTTTTTATTATAAAAAAACTCCTTATTTCCTGAGTAAAAGAAGATTCAGGTTTTGAAATTTGATTATGGAGGATAATTCCTATCTATATTGGTCATTTAATTTTGTTTAGCAGTATCAATCAATTGGATCTAATATTTGTTCTGCCTGTTCATGCCCACTCTAATAGAATGAATGTCTTTCGAAAATTGTGTGTTTCATTTTCTAAATTCGGTTATGAGGGTATTATAAGGATTATCCAAATTCTGCCAATGTTCGGCAATATTTAGTTCAAAATTTCCATTGGTCACAAATGGTGTGCTTGTGTTGTGTGTGACTTTTAAGAAAATTTATAACCTGTTTCTTGCTCATGCAACTCTTGCCAATTTACCAGGCTGTTCTGTGTTCGGAGATTCGAGTTTGTCTCTTTATGTCATGTGAACAAGTTGTCACTGATTGAAAGTAGTTCATGGACTTTAATGTATTTATATGTTTTGATGGATGACATATTTGAAGATGTAAAGTGTGGGGCAAGCGTTAAACTCATATTGATCTAGATCGCAGAGTCCAACTTAGATGGAGTTATATTTTCTGGGGTTGATTTGTTTTGTAACTAAAATGATGTATTTGCGCCCTTTTATTTATGTCAGCTATTTGTCACATTTTGTTTTCCTCACATGAACTTTTCTGCTATGCTATCTCAGATTGAGCTGAAAACAGCACCTGTTGATTTTCGATTCCCTACAACAAATCAAACTAGGCACTGTTTCACGCGTTACATTGAGTTTCATAGGTAGTTATTCGAACTTTAGCACATAGTAGCTTAACAGTAAACTATTAATTGAGATTTTTTTTTGAACATGTCAAACTATTTGCAGGTGTGTGGCAGCAAAGGGTGAAGAATCTAATGAATGTGAGCGATTTGCCAAATATTACCGCTCTCTTTGCCCGGGTGAATGGGTAAGTACTTCTTAGCTTATTGTATTGTCCAAGAAACCTAAAATTTGCTCATGCCTTTTAGGATACTCCCTATCTACTGTATTCTTACAGCACAGAAGTTTGAATAAGCGCTTCATGTACCTAAATTTATGAAATATAAAGAGGAAAAAATGAAAAAGGAAAACACCTTTCGTCTTTTCTAGTCCTGTTTCACTGCTATTTGATAAAAGAAATTTTGCAATTGTGGGGGAAAAGCTCTTGCTAGAAAAATGTCCAAACTGCAAACTTTACAATTATTAGGAGAACAAGTTTGAAAACGTATGTGTTTGAAATTAACTTATTCCACATTCATATTAGATTTTGTCATACAATTGTCCTCTTGTTGTTAACTTGCTGCCTTTATTACCAAGTTGAATTTTACGTGTTGTGTTCCTTGTGTAGAAGCTTAATGAGCGTAATTATACAGTTTATTTGATAGGCGGTTATTTTAGTCCCATGTTCATGTGACCATTTATGTGTGAGGGTGACAAAATAGTCTTTTGATATACTGAGGAAATAAAGCTTAACAACCACAGCACCAGTCAGAGCCTGATATGTTAAGTTGTTTTAAGGGCATTGATTTCTTTACCTTTATGGTTTTATACACACCTTCAGAAATATGGAATGTTCAATTTTGAATGTTCCTTTTTCTCTGTAAGGTACAATACATCCATCAGTTGGATTGACAAGTCTTGATTGTTGAAGAAAAGAATATTAGTGAACTCAATTGGATTGAATTATTGAATCAACAGGGGTGAAATCTCAAAACCTTTCTAGTTTATGGCTGTTTATTGGATCCCTGCAGTGATGTTCTATTTTATCTATTTTCTGGGGTATTTGCTTGATTTATTTAATTTTTTCCCCTCATTCTTTAACTTTTGTTGGTATTGCTATTTTCCTTCTGACACTTTGAGGGTATTCTATTATATCTAAATTCTAATTTTTTTTTTTTTTTTTGGGCTTGTATTGTAGATTGAGAGGTGGGACGAGCAGAGGGAGAATGGAAGTTTCCCAGGTCCTCTTTAATTTAACATCAGAACTCCTTGGCTTGATCTTTCATTGACATGAAAGTTGCATGTCACTTCCGTTACCTTCACTCCAACCAGTTGTGCATGGTTTCTCAGTTGGATCATTGTGGATCAATAAATTACCTGTTCAGATTTCTTTAATTTAATTGAAATCACACATTGACTGGTATTTTAATTTATGATTTGTTCTAGCTCACCCAAATAAACACCCACCACAGGAGGAAAAAAGAGAGAATATATATGTGTATGTGTTTGTAAGTGTTTGTTTGCATTCTAGCGAGCTATACATGAATCAGTCTTGGCTTCTGGAATAATCTATTTAATTTCAAACTGTAGACCTGGAGGAGCTGCTTGTGGAATAGGTCACTTAAGGCTTCTTTTTGAAAAGGAATTATTTTTGCACTCGAAAAGTAGGTTGTTGCACTGCACTCCGCGGAGGCTTTTGTCGAAAATAGAAGAGCCTCTCCAGTTATATTTATAGGTTTAAGGATCAGTCTCCACTTTTGTGGGGTATGGTTGAAGTTAGTATCGGAGTCTCAAAAGACTCTAATAGTAGAGCATCGAAGACACTGGTGATGGCCATAAAAAAGAGTTGGCCAAAATAGTGATAGGTTGTTGAACCATGAAAACCTTGATCTCACTGTTTCTTTTATTCTTTGAACTTTTGTGAAGATTTTGACTATACCCTTATAAGAGAGAGATGGCCAACAAGCTCTCCGCAGCAAGCAAAAGAATATAGCTTGAGATCAATAATTCTTGGGCCAAAGCTGCTACTTCGAGCAAGCTTGGACATTGAAAAGTTTTTTGGAACTTTTATTCTCACAGCCTTAAGAATTTTTATACAGTCAAAGAGCTGCTATACGGTCCTTTTAAAAACCTTCAACAAAAAGCCGGTTTTTAGGACAAATTCAGAGTTATAAAGCCTTCAACAGCGATATGAACTCAAGATAGCCCCAGCAGAAGAACAAGCCATTAGCATAGATATGGAATCAAGATAACCGCAAAAGAGGTACAAGCCATCAACATTGGCACGAAACTAAGGTAATCTCAATAGAGGTACAAAGGACTAGTAGATGCATGAACTCGAGATATCCTCAGCGGAAGCACAAGCCATTGAAACTTTAGCATTTGAGAACCAAAATTAATGCCTCTACATATATAAATATATATATATATATATATATGGGTGCACTTGCTACTTGCTACTTCTTTTTTAGTTTAAAAATTTTCTAAAGGGGCTTGGGCTAGGCATCGACACATTTTATGAACAACATTTTGGGCAAGGCCGTAAAAAGCTTAAA